CTTAAAAGATGAGTTAGGCATTAAGCCTCAAAAGGTTAAAATCTCTTTTTTAGGCCAGCACTTAGATTGAGTATTCAGTTTGCCTTAATTTCTTTGAAAGAAGTTTATTTAAAAAAAAAAAACCAAAACCAGATAAAACCAACCAATTTCGTTTTTTAAAAGTCGGTAAAATATCATTCTGAACTGAACTGAGGCCTTGTCCTAAAACCTTTCAAACAAAAAAACTCTTGTAAAACTACAATCAACAAAGAAATTACAAAGTTGATTCTGACTTCTAGTTTGCAATCACTAGACCTTAGAAGCGTCTGTTCTCTTTGGGAGGTCTGAAATTGAGAGGATGAGTTTCAGGAGTTGCATTTTCGTCTTCCTTCCACATCTTTATTGTCTTGTCTGCCTCACACGTTACCAGCCTTGAACCAGTCTTATCGTAACACGCTGCATATATACCAGCTTCACTCTCCAGCGAACCTAACCATGTAAATGATATAAGAGTTATATATCTTGACCTTTTAAGCAACACGGAAGCAAAGGATTAAGAAACAGTACGAGGTCATACCGGGCTGTACAATAGTTTCTGCCTGTTGGAAATTGTGTCCGCTCTTCCAGTCCCAGAACCATAAGCCTCCCCTATCACCTTCAATGAGACAACGACAGGAACGTTTTCATTAGAATGAAGAGGTTGGGAAGATAAAAATGTCGAGGAAAGGAAGACACAAGATTCAGTGTTTCATCCAGTTACTATTGAAGAAAGAGATTTGGAAATGAATTAATACCTCCAGTGACCATTACACCATCCTCGTTTACAGCCACTGCGTTAACTGTGGCTTTCTGCTGAGAACTGCTCCATGGAGAAAAGACAACATTAAAAACACATCAGAAAACTAAAGTTCTTTGGTAACATCAGAAAAAATGAAGTTGCTACTTGAAAGAAATTAATCTTTTTTCATTGCACTGGAAGATGTAAGAGAATGAATTAAGGCTCAAAGAAAACTAGATACAAAGATGATCCAAGAACTAATCACAAGGATTTGAGAAACTTACAGCATGTTGTGGCAAAATTGTCCCCTAGGAAGGCTAAATTTCTTGATGTTGTCAGGTGATGCAGAAACAAAAGCATTCCTGAACGAAACAGAGAGATACATTAAAACAGGGTGCATTATTTTGCACAATACTAAGGTTGGAAGAGCAAGACAATTACTCTTTTGGATGGGGAGCCATTGCTCGGACAGTATACTTATGATGCGTTAGAGTTGTCATCGTTCTGCCTGATTATAAAATCAATCAGTATATCTGTTAGCCTAACCCTCCATACAATGAAAAGCTATCGAGGAAAGAAAATCAAAAGTCCAAAAAATGGTTACCATATCGGAGGTCCCAAAATTTAATGGTTGAATCATGAGATCCGGTAACAACTTGTGGGTCCTGCAAAATTACACACATCATCAGCTCCAAATCCCAAGTTCAAATGATTTTAAAAGATAAACATATGACTACATGAGCATAATAAAGCAGAGTATGTTTCTTTGCCACAAGTACAATAAGGAGTTATGTGAAGAATAAAGAAAAGATGAAAAGCGGCATACAGTTGGACGGGCAAAAACCGAAAAAACATCGTTGCTATGTCCAGAGAGTGCAAAAATTTGCATCTTCGTACGGATATCCCATACCTGTAAAAGCAGAAAAAAGGATTTTTGACAACAGAATCAGCGAACTCAAAAATCGAAATGATACATATTCTTATAAACACAGGATACATCTTCTCAGTAAATTTCATACCCTGCAGACAGAGTCTCGCCCTCCGGTTAGTAAAACATCCAGAGTTGGATGAAGAGCTAAACAGTAAACGCCATGCAGATGACCATGATAAGATCGGATAACCTATACAAGCCAAATTCCAAAACATTTACACATGAGAAGTTCAGATCAGAAAAAGAATAATTCATTTATAGATGAAATGAAGTCCATCATCGAGTTTAAACCTTATTATGCTCAAGGTCCCAGCATTTGACTTGCTTGTCATCAGAACAAGAGAACATATAGGTATGTCTGTTGCTTACAGCGAGACCTGTGAAACAATAATTAAACAAATTAAAAAAGACGATACTTCCAACTTTTCTGCAAGAGTTATTGATAAGGTAGTAAATACATAGGAATTTAAATGAAAAGGCTAACCTCGTACTTGACCAATATGTCCAGTAAGTGTGAGCTTCAGAACTCCAGTCGCTACATCCCATATCTAGTGAACATGAACCAAATAAGCAATTAGGACCGCTACAAGTGCTAATTTGCACTCGAGCTCTAGGAACTACCCACAAGATTGAAGTAACATAGATTTATGAAATATAGACGAATGATGTACCAAGAGCTAGAGAACAGGATCTTGCAACATTCATATTATATTTGAAAGAAAAGGTTACATGAATAATTAATAAAAGGCATCGAAGTGGAATTCCAATATAGAGCTCAAAAGTTACCTTGATGGTACGATCTGCTGAACCAGTGCAAAACCATTCATTACTTGGGTCAAATGCAACAGATCTGACCCAACCCAAGTGTCCCTGGATCACCTGTTAAAAAAATACATCAACCCATATGAACATTACGTACTCTCTGGGGGACAACAAATGGCCTAAGAAGACCTAAAAGCTTCGCATATATGTTATATCAAATCTTACCCTGTAATTCTTCCATGGTGCATGCCACTCTGGACGGGGCCATCTACTAGGTATTCTCTCCATTAAAGCAGAAGTTGACAGATTACTGTAACACGTAGAAGGGCGAAGATGGACAAAAATGAGAAACTGCCGCATGCTTACGAGCTATAGGTATTTCAGGTTGAATAAATATGGCAAAATTTAACTTCCATGACTACGAACAACTTATATCACCTCATCGAGGTTTTATGTACAACCTAGAGATTGCAATCTAAATGAAGTGTCACTATAAAGAGCGCATAATAGAATAAAAGGATAGGACACATAACCTTTCAGATGTGGAGCCAAATGCAGGAATAATGGTGGTGCTTTTGCCTGCGTGACCACAGTTGTTCCTTCAATTCAAGAATCGATAATTTATCAGCATCATCACGATAAGTAGAACATCAATCACAAGGGCAGAACAGCAGAGACATTCTTAAGAATATAGTAATTTTTTTATATTATCTATATCGACTACTGAAACCAAAGGAAAGGTAAACTCACAAGCCTGTTGGTGGTAAAGTTGGCCCAACAACTAAAGCTTTCTCTGTTGCACCCTTTTGAATTTCAGTGGTTCCTTCTGGACCTGCAGACAAGCAAATGATTTGGTCCTTCAGAACGAGAAACCATAATGCAGAAAGAAATTACAAGCTTACTCTAAAGGGTTCTTTAGTGAAGCAGAAGTTTAGTTCAAAAGATACTTTACGAGAGTATATTACTGAAACTTGTTTTCAAAATCCTACTTATTACATATGAATAAAGCTCACAACTAAATATAAATAGATGTTGTAAACATAAGGTTTAAAGAATGACAGGAAAACTAGAAAAGTGAAAACTCGTTTTGTCTCACCTGGAAGAGCAAGGGCATTCGATGGAGCTATGTGTTCATTGCTATGGTCAGCCCGACGTGGAGGCTTATTCGAGGGTTCTACGGCTCCAAATGCAACTTGAATCTACACAAGAAACCTCTAACTCATTAACAAATTCTTATAGTTGATTAAATTACCAAAACCCAAAAGCTTATGCAAATTAAGCACCTCTACTAAGTATGAGCGTAATAATAGTCTAGAAAACAAGTCGGATAATTGGGATATTTCTCAAAGGCTAACTACAAAACTGATGAAACAAAAACTGCTGACTAATCGATTTAACACAGTATAAGCACTGAATCGTTCTACTAAACAATACATGAATTGATCTCATCTCCCACATCAACATCTCAGAAACTTTCTACCCAGTATCAAAATCAAACAAACGAAGAAGAAAATCAAAAGAACCGAAGAAACAATTACACATTTCCTTACCTTATGACGGATCCGAATTTGTTTACTGCGACACAAGAAAGAAACAGAGAAGAAGAATCGTCAATACATAAAAAAAAAACTCTGAAAGATTTCGAGAAACAATGAGAAACTGCAAGCGAAACTGTCCATTAACCTTTCTGCATCAGGCGGAGCGAATTGGCCATGATCGGGAGAGAAAAGATCAAGAGCTCGTTTCAGAGATTTGCGACTGAGATTTTCCAGTGAATGTGGCTCGATCTCCGTCGTCAAACCCGTCATCGACTTTTTAGGGTTTTACACGAACAATCAGAGAATCACACACACCG